GCGGTAGGGGAAAGGCGGTGATGAAAGAAGAAGAATGCCTCAATATCAACTTGGATATGAAACGAGGAAAAGGATGAGTTGTTATGGGATGGGGTTGAAGAAGAGGAAAGGTGAGTACTGGAGGGAGAGGAATTCTTAGTCACTTTGTGCCACTGTGACTGCCACTCCCTCTCTCTCTGAATCTCTCTCTCTCACCTTCTGTATGGAAACTCTATGTATGGGCAGTTATGCAAGCTGTATCTTTTCTTTTTTTCTTTTTTTCCCTTTTTGGAGGCCGGTAATATGTATCTACTTGGTACACAGCAATACAGATAATTAGCATACATAATATCCCTACTTGTAGAAAAACCACCAAACCAGAGATATCGTCATTCCCGTACTTATATGTCGGTGCTCCCCCACGGGGCCGAAAACCTCACTTAGCCATATTGTTTATAGCCAGTACTAACGACACTAAAAATATTGTTATCATCGCACCTCATCCTTCATGTGCATCAACAGATCCGGTGCTCAGGAGGTCGCCAGGGCACACCCAGCACCGCAAAAATCCGACGCTCATCCCGGCCCTCAACCAGCCGCCCCCCATTCAGTTTCACCTGCTGGTTCCGAAGAACATCCGCATATAGACCTTTTTGATTCAAGCACATGCCTTTCTTGCGCGCCAGCAATCTCATACTCCGGTTGAATATATCATTCCCCGTGAAGTATATCAACGCTGCCCCGATCTCCGCATCCGGAACGAACAGCAAATCAATCCGACGCCACAGAGTGGTGCCAGGTAGAGCTGATGCGCCGTGCCACTTAGATCCATCCTGATGCGACGAGATGGAAAGGCTGGCCTGAAGAAAGCCACTATTGAACAACCTGGGGACAACAAGACCGAGCATCGTGGTGCGAATTTGCTCCAGCGTGGCACCAGGTTTGGTTATTAGGCAGTCCACGTCCCCGCAGGTGAGTGCCCCGCGGCGGTAAGAGCCCCCGATGATCACCTGCATATCCCTGTCCACGGCCTGCACCGCCTTTCGCACAATCGCCCCGTGGGCTTCGACCTCCTTGCGGGGGATGCGTTGTGCGAAGTCGCTGTGACGTTCCACCCCAATACGCTGCTGCTTAGTCAATGGAGCCCTTTCCAATAAATCTTTCAGAGATATATAGCCCTGTGCGACCCATTTGGAAGCCTGGGGAAGGCCAGCACCATAGACGCCGAGAAATTCTTTGATTATCAAGTCTTCTGGGGTATGGTTCGCGTTTTCGAGACGACGAAGGCGGTTAGTCAAGACAATTTCTTCGATTTTATCAGCCAACCGCTCTCCAATACCAGGGATGGCCCGAGCCTGTGCTCGTGTAGCAATCTTGTTCGATTGCTTTCGCAAAGCATTGATGGCTTTGCGATAGGCCATAACCCGCCACTGGTCTGCCGTCTGGGTATAGTATTCCAGCATTTGCTGTAGTACCTCGATGGTTCTACTATTCGGGTTGTCAAGCTTCGTGTCCAGATCGAACTTCTGCATACAGGCGAAACCTTTGGTCCAGTCAGACTTGTCTTTGCCTTTGCTCTCTCCAGCGGGATTTTTTGGAGTCTTCCAACTTGGCTTTGACTCCTCCCCTGAGCTCGAGGTTTCGACATCGGAGGCATCGGCAGCAGATTCGTCAATCGGAAATTCAACTGGGTCCAGGGGCTGGTTATGAAGATTAGTCGTGTGAGCTTTCATTAACAAAGAAGGCGTTTTACCAGATGACTTGTGGCTTTAGCCTCATCTATTATATCATCCAGTGCATCACGCTCCCATTTTCCTCCTTTACGCGCTTCTTCGGTTGCAGTTTCAGGGGCCGATTTGGAGAACACGGCATCGGGCACACTTTCAGGCACGGTTTCTGGGTAGTCCTCTGGCGAGGGATTTGGAGTCGGTTCGCCAACTGGAGACAAATAACGTTCTGGGGACTGGTTCTTCTCCCGCCGCGATGGTTTCAATGGAAGAGAATCAGGGGAAGGCGATGTTGCGACTGCAGACTTCTCCATCTCGGCGGTCGTTGGGGTTCCATTGACACGAAAGCGGAGATGCGAGGTATCAAGAACCGAACGAAACTGGATACATTCGGATGGGTATGATTCATTGACAAGAGCAACACTTGCCTGCAACAGTTAATGCTGAATTCTGAATATCTCGAATGAACTGACCGGCAAATTTTTAAGTTTGAGGTAGCCGAGGAGATCACTTGATAGCAAGCCTTTGTCCATAATCACATGAGTGACATCGGTGGCCCAATTTCGACTCCATCGTGCACCATAATCTTGCGCTCGTTGAATGCGCAATCGTCGGAATGGAGATATATCGTTGTTTGGGAAGAAGACTGGAATTGAGAGTTCAGTGAGAGTAGGCTGTGAGAAATCTAAGAAAACTTACAGAAGATCAATCCCTTAAATATCTGCTGGTCATCTGGGATTATCTTAGCATTATTGGTCTTCCTTTTCTTTTGAGGAGGCCCTCCGCTCTTGATGTTAGGCATAGTTCCAGTCGTGCAAGGACGGTTCGTGGGAGCAGGTTTCGGCACAGTAACAGGACTGTTTCTCTTGCTTTGAAGGTCACACGAAGATATAGGGTTCGAATTTGCTCGAGGAACTGGGATAAGCTCCGAGGAAAGAGCGACTTGCTTTGGATTGGGTTTGTCAAGTTCTTTGTGTGCAAAAGTTAAGAGACTTTCCCAGCTCTCATCCTCTTCATCTTGATCATCTGAATCATCCAGCTGGTCAAGAGTCGCGAAAAAGCTCTTTTTAGTCGGAAATGGGTCTTTCATGGTACCTAGACAGGCTAGTCCGGTTTCCAACGGAGGGGCAGGTGCCTAGGTGAGGGATGGTTCATTATATAGGTGCCTGGAGTCACTGTGGGACATCCATGGATGACTCGTATAATCTTTGTTCGAGAGAAAACAAAGGGTAATGGTCCGAAACTCCCTTGGATCAATTTGGATGAACTGTGGGCGCCAGACGCCAGACGCGATTAACCGGCGCGAAATGGGCGCCAGATCATGTGATCCAGTCCAAAATGAAAGTTACAAGAACAGTCGGCCGCTTATGCGGCGTTGTGGTATCCTTTCGGTGCTCTTTTGGATGCTCTTTTAGATTTTCTTTTCGGGTGTACACGAAAGCCGTAAAAATAGCATAGTTTGTGCAAGAGACTTTGCTATGTATATAACCTTTGATGATTCACTGTTCAAGGTGCATTTGTGCTGGTGTATTTCCCCGCGGGCGACCTTATAGTTAGGAATATCTAATCTGGATTTGAGAATTGCATAAGACCTAGATATTACATACTCCATTTATATATCGACATTCTACAACATATATTCTGTTGTATATTGCTCCCAAAAAGGGTAGGACTAGCATCGACAATTATTCCCAAAGTGGAAATATCATGTCATGTGACTTTCGGTTCCCATGGAAGATCAAATGCGCGAACAAGTTCGAAAGCAATAACCTCACAACCCACCGCCGTACACACAGCCCGTTAACTGATAGACTGTCAGCCATTATGTGGAAATCCACCCTCCCCACCGTTTTGGCCGACCTCCCCCTTCTGCAGACCGGCCGCTGTCTAAGCTGCCAATTCCGCAACCCAGCAACCCTCTCGCAGCTACGGACCAAACCCTTTTCTCTGCGCCAATATTCCAGCAAAGCCGAGAAATCTGTCGACACAAAAGAGGCTGCGCCTGTGAAACGAAACATAAAAAACGAGGCACACCGCCTATCGACTGCCATCGAATTCAAACAGAACCAGCCCAAAGATGGACCTCAGCCCGGCGACGCAGACTTCGTCCCTCCGAGTCTGGACCGTCCCATTGGTAGCCCACAAGCACCATTGGAAGGACAGAATACAGGTATTGACTCGCGGTCGATGCGCCAGCGGCGTGACGACTTCACCAACTATGACCGACACATCAAGCGGCGCAAGGAATTGTACGATCTTGCCTCTTCCTCTTCCTCTCACACCCCGGGATACAGCCCAAAGATGGTAAAAATAGTGCTAATAAACAATGGAAACCCATAGGACAAAACAAGTCGCCAAGCCTTATTTCCGCGAATGGTCCAATCTTCGCTTCGCCGAGGGCAAAACCTTTGTCTCAAACCCACGGCTCTTCAAAGCAGACAGAGCCCTCTACTTCCCTAACATGTATGGCGTAACGCTTGCAACCCCGAAAGATCCTCAGAACACGACAACTCAGCTGCGCGGCAGCATCTCTGTCGTAAACTTGTTCTCAAGCATGTGGGCCGAGAGCCAAGTTGTGACGTTTACGGGACAGGAGCAGAATCCGGGACTTGCGGAGGCGATGGCCAGCGGCGGAAGACTAGTGCAGAGGATTGATATCAATCTTGAGGAGAACCGACTGAAGGCGTTTCTGGTGAAGACGTTCATGTGGCGGATGCGCCAGAAACTGCCCAAGGAGCAGCATTCGCGCTACTTCCTTGTACAGAAGGGTTTCGACCAGGCACTCAAGGAGACCATTGGCATGATGAATTCCAAGGTAGGTTATGTCTACCTGGTTGATTCCGAGTGTCGCATTCGCTGGGCGGGGAGTGGACCGGCTGATAAGTCTGAGTTGGAGGGACTTAATGCTGGTTTGCGGAAGCTTATTGAAGAGAAGAAGACTGCTCTCCGCGCGCAGGACCCGTCTCGCAAGTATTGATTGAGGCCGCAGGTGATAAGGACTACCTGGACTGGAGCCTTAGATGTGATTTTATTCCGTTCTCGGTTGAATTTGTACATATAATAGAGAATCTGTATAATAGAAAGTATGACAAATAGGCGCCTTCAAGACCCTTTCGCGAGAATTATCATCGATTCTGTCGCATCCCCCATCAAGGGGGACTCGAAACATGCCCAAACCCAAACGCCTTCGACAAGAGAAATCCACTCGCTGGAGAGCAGCAATCGACACAAGAACAACAAGACATAGCGGCGGTATAACTGACCTGCCGCCTGAGAGAGCTTCGCATCCATAGTTTATCGGAAAAACAGCAGCATCAAAAAGCAGAACCCAATGAAGCACCCGAGGATAATAGCATCCCGCCTCTTCTTGTTCCCAATCTTGCCGATGAGATAATTCATGCCAGGGACATTGCCAGCAGCACCGACAATGCGGCGATTAATGTTAGCAATTGTCTCACTCTGCACACCAAAGTTCTGATTGATGGCATACGCCTGGCTTAGCACGCCGTCAATCATGCTGTGGCTGTTCTCAACTCGGCCTCGCTCTTCGAGCATGTACTCAGCCTCGGCGGCGGCGGGGTTGGATGCGCGATATGAGCTGATATCTGAACGGACATTGGAAAGTAGGTTTGCGCGGTCGCGTGATTCAGATATGGCTGCGGTCAGACGTTGGAGCTCACGGCGGTGGTCTTGTAGTACTTCGCGGTGGCGGGAGACATTGTTCTGTTTTAGGGCGGAGGAGGTGAGGGTAGCTTCGGAGTCGAGGAGACGGGATAGTTGGGCGATGACAGACTCGCGCTGTACGGAAATTAATTAGCTGTCGGTGCCTTGTTTTTCTGTTGAATATTGGTGGATGGACGTACTCTTTCGAGAAGGTCTTTCAACTGCGATTCAAGCCGCAGCTCTTCCTCAGAGGGTGATTGTGGAGGCTTGGTAATGGAGGCAAATTGTGAATAAGTGTGGAAAAGGTTCTCGGTCTACCGGTACGTCAGTTAACATTGGTATAGAACTCCTGGTGAGATTATGGTTGGTACCTGAGTTTCAAGCGACCGTGCTTGTTGCCGGAGTTGTGTCCAGCCGGAACTAGTTGAGGATGCCATAGCAAGCAGGAAGTATATGGAAAGTTGGTATTGAGTCACTAGAGAAGTCTGGTCTGTTTAGAAGTTCTTCTCAAACCAACAAGTCAACTAGTGCAAGGGCCGAGGTGCTACCTGCTTGTCTACGTAAGTGCCAGCCCATGACGGGGTAAAATGTGCTAACCGAATACAGTAAGTTTATGCCCCAGGGCCCAGGCACCAACAAGCCAGAAACTTCAGGCACTAAATTTAGGCATTAGTGCCACCGTAATCACGTGCACCCGCTAAAGTCACAAATTCGCTTAGCCCTAGTCCCACAACCAGTCGCAAATTGACCCTCGGACATCTTCAATTCTCAACGTCGACAACCCACACAATTCAACGCCACCATGGTATGTCACGCTGTGTAAAGGCACTGGTATCAAAATGCTGATGAATCGCTCTTTTTTTGCAGTCGTCCAAGGTCAAGGCTGGTCAGCTCTGGGGCAAGAACAAGGATGAGCTCGCCACACAGCTCGAGGAGTTGAAGTTGGAGCTTAACCAGCTCCGCGTTCAGAAGATCGCTTCCGGCGCTTCCTCCAAGACTCAGAGAATGTGCGTATCCGACACCCCCGATATTTGATTTTTTGTGCGGATGGAATTTGAAGATTTGCGGGATGGGAACGATCGAACCCGGGAAACACAATATACAAGAGGAGGACTACGCCAGCATTCAACCAAACGATCGATGAGGAAGAGAGGGATTATACGATCTGGCACAAAGCGCACGATACTGGGGGTCATCAATTTTCGAGATTTGATGCTGACTGGAATTTTTTTTTAGCGGCGAGGTTCGCAAGTCGATCGCTCGTGTTCTCACTGTCATCAACGCCAACCAGCGCGCTCAGCTGCGTCTGTTCTACAAGAACAAGAAGTACCTCCCGCTCGACCTCCGCCCCAAGCTCACCCGTGAGATCCGCCGCCGTCTCACCAAGCACGAGCGTACCCAGACCACCGACAAGCTCCGCAAGCGTGCCATCCACTTCCCCCAGCGGAAGTACGCCGTTAAGGTATGACATTCTCCGACAATCCTGAGCAGGAAAAAGTGGAATAAGGGTTCATGGATGTTCATCTTTGCCCTCTCCACCAAAACCTCGCCCATCAAACGAGACGAATCAGCCGAACATAATACTAACAGTTTATTTGCTGCAGGCTTAAACGCAGAACCTGTTCGGATATGGAGTTTTGTGGGAAGACGTTGCTGGCCTTGGACATGAGCAGGACGTGACTGTGGATCCGAATGCTTGTGTAGGGGTCGGTTTTCTCTTTTTTTTACATCCAAAAAAATGGAATTTGATTATGTATCTAAATAGGATGCAAATCGACTCTTGACATGACATGATTTTAGACATTCTCCAAGCTTCCCTGCTCTTGCTTTCATGTACGACCAGCGAAGATAGCGAAGATATCACATGGATATGTATAGTCTGCCAGGACTCGATATATATTTCTACAATATACGTATCTTGAGTGGTCTGCATTTTTACATAGTCTACATGACTCAAGTACACAGCAAAAAATAATGACCGACTAAGAATATCTTGCTACGATTACCAAACAAATCTAAATCTAGATGCAAGACATCCTAATACCCCCCCCCACAAGTACGCCTAAGATTTAAAAAGAACCAACGTACCCTCACGTCCTACATCGACCAACCCCACACCACCTTGAGTCAAAACCAGATTGCAAGCCATGGTATCCAATTTCAGCATTGGCTGATATCCTAAGCCTGACTAACCCTGTTGCTACTGCCATTCGTACTCGCGGCCCTAGCGTTAAGATCCCCAGTATCCGTCTCAAGAACCCACATCCCCCCGCAAAGACAAGACCGCAACAGCCCCAGCTTAGCAATCATCTTGAATGACAGAAGCGACCGGGGCAGATTCGTATCACCAGAGACCTCACAGCATCGCGCACACCTGCGCTTCTTCAGCGGCGCCACGCGACCATTATTCCCCAACGGCAACGGCGGACGCAGCGGACACTTCTTAAGAATATCGACTTCACGCTGTTTACGGTACAACGCCGTGCGTCGATCATTCCCAAAACCAAGCCAGCTATAGTCCCCAAGGTAGATCGCCCTGCGATTGATTTCGGATTTGAGCGCGGGAACTGTCTGCCGGAGGAGGGTGGCCACGGCTGTGGTGAGGACTGGTGGGATGCGCGCATTAACCAGCAGTTCCTTTTCCGGGCCTGGTCTTTCGGCGTCGCCGAAGCCAGCGCCTTGGTAGGCATGTTTCACTGCTGAGTCGACACCTGCCAAGAACTTCTCGTAGACGTCGATCCGTACCGGTGATGATTCTAGTGTTTGGCAGATCTCTGTGTAGTAGATTCGAGAGTCACCTACGAGGGAGGCGGGGTTTGCGTTTGCGAAGCCGGCATTCACGCCGCGGAGGCCTCGGCAGATGAAGCGGAGGAAGGCGCGCGACATGCTTGAGAGGAGGATTAGAAGGGGAAGGGAGGAGGAGTTTTTCACTGTGAAGATGGTGAGACAGGGGGGAACCTTGAAGCTGGAGTTTGTTAAGGGGAGGTTCCTTACATTTCTGTGTGAATGCTTCTGGATCATGGTAGACGTCTTCGAATTCATCGGCCATGTCGAAGATTTCGTTTAGAAGAAAGTGAGAGAAGTCTAATGTCCATTTGGTGTTGCCCAATACCATGCGGAGAACATCTTTTGTTTCAATTAGCAACGGACCACGATAGTTCAGTTGGCTTTCTTTGAACTCACCTGGATCATGCGATTCAGTCTGTCCCCCTTTATTATACTGGAAGAAATATGCAAATAGAACCGAGGAATGTCTGAGTTGAAGGCTTGCCCACGGCACGGCCGATGAGAGGTTGCGGCGCTTGAGTCTCCCTTTGAAGCCCAGTCCGGCCTGTAAACTGAGACAGCGAGGTATGTAAGGATGGCTCATGAGTTTGTCCTGTTCGGCTGTGAAATTGCAATTAACCGGTAGTGCACGATACACCTCGCTGATGAATGTGGTTTGAGCCTCTTTGGCGGTCATCAGCATCTTGATAATATTATTGCGAAGGTCTTCAGAGTACTCACCAGGCGAGAGCTGCCCGAGGGCAACCACGAGTATGTCATCTGTGTTGAAATCAACTCCACAGCCTCGACTAAATGCCAATGTCAAGGCCGCGATGGCTGCGGAGAAATTGTCTAAATGTCTCGGTCAGTATTGTTATTCCATGCAGGTGACTTGATAACAAAACACATACTCTCGTCATAGAGACCCTCTGTGGATCCGAACGAATGCTCCATCACCCTCAATTGCATATGTCCGTCAAAATCCAGCGTAACGGCAACGCAAGCGTTGGGAGAGAAAGCAATGTGAAGACCTGGTCCATGTTAGTCCTAGACGTGCCTCTGAAAGCAAGATCAATCGGTCCCAGGTATACCTGATGATTCGAGTGGGTACTGGAACCCAGCCTGAGCCAGACATGTCACTGTGGTTGAATCGTCAAGGCCGTTCAAAACGGTCATTGTCCGTGTGTCGTAGCATGTTATTGAGCTGTCGTCATGACTGACAGCCAAAACCGTCCCATGCTCTACTAAATCCACCGAGACAATATACTTATCACAATACACGTCCTCCAGCCTGCGAAGTTCCATTTGGGGCTGAGAATAGGTCAGTTTCAATTTCACGCGAAAGTCCAACTCCGAGGAATTCGCACCTTCGCTTGAGCATTGCTCTTTTTTGACGTCACTTCGTCGAATTTGGGATGGAGGATCTGCGGAGCAGATTCCAAATGCCACCTGACAATCACACTCGGAGGACCTTGCTGATCTGGGTAGTCATGTATGGCATGGAGGGGCTTCGATAAGACAGCCAGGATCCAAGGGTTGGCAGTGGACCCCGCGGGGCTATCAAACTGTCCCGGCATGATCTCTAGTCGTGTCAACGAGTATACTGAGTTCAAAAATGGCAGAGACTGATCGGAGTGGTCGGGCCCGCGATTGATGTTCAATATATTGCTGGGCATGTCGACCTTACAGTGGATTAAACGGAAGGTGGGGATAGGGAATTGGCCAGGCGGTTTTCCCTGTGCCGGCTCCCATTGTGACGGGTTCCAGCTGATGTGTACTCTATAAAGACACATTTTCTGGCATGCAGAATAGGTGGAGAGAAGGATCCCAGCTATTTTAATACGTCAGTGACGGCGGGAAATGGAGCTTTGACTGAACGGCAATACCTTGTGTTGCGGTCATAGATGCATGGGTTAATAGTCGGTCGGAGTACCCTGTGTTCTTCAGTTCGGCTGGCAGCTCGGCCCATTTGCTGTCAGGATTCTGATATATCAGCTTGATCTGGCCAGCTCTGGTCACACATATCAATGCGCCTTTGTTGGCTGGGTGAAATGGCCCGACGGGGCGTCTACGGAATGGCGAGTATGCCCATCGACCATTCACCTTGGCTGCTTGGTGAAATGCGTGCACCTATATTCCCATGTTAGAGTCCTTTTACTTCTATCTTGATATATCTTGATGGATAATGGGTAGGGACAACGTACATAACGCTGGGAGTTCAGCCACATCATTCCAACGACCTGGCTACCATCATCGCCGGAGTCAAATGAGGCCTGGCGCAAGCCTGTGATGCTGTTCAGTGCAATGGAAATGGAATATATTGATATGCGACCAGAACAGTCGACAACGGCAAGTTCCGAACCGGTCTCATTCCATGATAGATGGGCCAGTTGATTGCCATTATGGGCCTCCAATACTGGAGCCAAAGATGACTCTTCCCCGAGCACCCATTTTCCATCTGATGGACGGCACTGGAGGTGGCGGACAATAACCCGGAGTCCGTCTGGGGAAATGGATGCAATACATCCCATCCGAGACCAGGCGATTTTCCTAAAAGGTTATTAGTCTTGGAATGTGGATATGGGGCATTCTTTCAAGCTTACTGGCAGCACCCTAATAGACGCATTTCATCTAGGCATTGTGCTAGACCTTTGATTGGGGAGGCGGCGGG